CACTGCTACTGTGCGCCGCTTGGGAAGCGTGGTGGCGCTCCCGCCAAGGGTTCGGATCCCACATACAGACCGGTTCCCGCTCACTGGCTGAGTGAGGAGCGGGAGCAACACCGAGGGTTGCGATCCCGTTGCCGGTCCCGGCCCGGTATGGGTGCGACACTGAGGGTTGCGATCCGTTGCCGGACACGAAAAAAGACAAAAAGGAAAAAAAAAAAAAACTATGAAGATTGGTTTTTAGTTGTTTGTTTAGGATTTTTTTTTGTTTTTTGTTTTGTTTTGTTTTGTTTTTGCTTTGTTTGGCGGCTGACCAGTATGGGAAGATTCTTATACATGTCTTCTGGTGAAAATATATATACATTAATTTCTATTGAGTATAAACATGGAAGTGAAGTGGCTGAGTCATGGAGAATATATACGTTTAACTTCAGTAGATACTGCCAAACAGTTTTCCAACGTGGTTGTAACATTTATGCTTCTATCCACAGTGTATGAGAGATCCAATTGCTCTATATTGTTGCCCCCACTTAGTATTGCCGGTTGTTTTAATTTTAGCCAATTCGGTGGATGCTTAGTAGTATCTCATTTGCTCTAATTTGCATTTCCTTGATGAGTACGAATGATGACCACCTTTTCAGGTGCTCATTAGCCTTTTTCTTTTGGCAGCTGGCTGGTAGGAGGATCCGAATTCTTGACCTTAGTGATACAAGGCTGTGCTCTAACCAGCTGAGCTAACGGCCGGCCCCTCATTAGCCATTTTGATATCCTCTTTTGCGAAGTGCCAATGTCCAAGTATTTTGCCCACAAAAAAAAATGAGTTGTCTATATTTTCCTTATTAACTTGTAGAAGTTCTTTATGTATTTTGGATATAAGTCCTTTGTCAAAAATGGGTGTTGCAGATATATGTATCCCATTCTGAGGCTTGCCTTTTCAACCTCTCTTAATGGTCTCTTTTTTTAGTGTTTTGTTTTTGTTTTTGTTTTTTGCAGCTGGCAGGTACAGGGATCCAAACCCTTGACCTTGGTGTAATCAACACCATGCTCTAACCAAGTGAGCTAACCAGCCAGCCCTAATGGTCTCTTTTGATGAACAGATGTTCTTAATTTAATGAAGACTAATCTTTTATTTTGTGATTAGTACTTTTTAAAGTACTTACTTAGAAGACTTCGTTTACACCCAAATCATGGAGGTATTCTCTTGTTTTCTTCTAGAAACTTAATTGTTTTTACCTTTCAATTTAGGATCTAACTCAAATTAATTTCTGACTATGGCATGAGGTAGGAAAATTTACTCCTTTTATTGAAAAGATTGTTCTTTCCTCAATGATTTTCATTGCGTTCTTGACTCTGGCTAGAATGAACTTCCCTAAGAACTAATTTGATCATGATATTTTCCTTCCTAACTACCTTCAGTGGCAGCTCATTGCTCTTTGGATAATATCTATTTCTTGTTTATGTTTCTTAACAATACCCAGCTTGATCTGGGCACTTCCTGTTTCTCCAGCCAAATCCTGTCTTACATCTACCTTCCCACTCTAAGCTGAGTCCAGGGTTCTTTGAACATGTCACACTGTCATCCACCGACCTTTGCCTCTGTTGACTGCTCCCATTATCCCCTTAGCCTGGTCACCGACTACTCAAACTTCAGGTCTCCTCCCTTCCAGGAAGCCTTTTCTGACTACACAGTCCCTTTCCCTTAAATCTAGGTTAGCTGATTTCAGTGTTTGTTCATTGTATCCCCAGCTTCGGAATTGTGGTTATTTAAATATCTCCTCCACTGTAACTTCTCTGAGGGAAAGGAAGTGGCCTATGTAGTTCACATGTCAGGTGATTCCTAAATACTGCTGAATGAATAAATAAATTTAAGGTGGGATCCTCCCTCGGAACCAAAAAGGGTGGGACTTGGAGAAACAAGGGAGTTTCCAGTCTTAGATCTAACACGTGGCAAACGGATTGATATTTCTGAGCCTTGGCTCTCAAATCTGTAAAATGAGGATATAATATTCTCTACATAGAGGTGCAGTGAGCACGAAACAACATAACGTATATACATAAGTATTCACGGAGGGCCCTTTCAGTAGTAGTAAGATGATGGGGGACGGGGTACACAGGGAGCCGACTCCAGCCTGCTTTTTCCCAGGCACATGCGCAGCCTCCGACGCTCCCACAGCTAGGCGCAGCGCACGCGAGCGTGCTCCACCGGAACCCCAGCCCAGACCGGAGGTGAAAGGGGCGGAGCCTCCGCAATACGCCTGCGCCGTAAAAGGACTGCCTCGCGGGGGCGGGGTCGCGCAGGCGCGCAAGACGCCCGGGCTCCGGAGCATAAACAAGAGCGGGGACGGGATGAGGCGGCGGTTGATCCCGGAGCAACTAGAGGTGGCGACCGAGGCGGCGAGCGGGACCCGGCGCCGACCCTGAGCACACAGCTCGACCTACCCTCGCGTGCGCGCCGCCCCCGGCCGGGCCGACCCGCCCGCA